AACAACAAAAGTAAAGACAAAAAACATGCAAACAGCTGGAAACTAAATAACTCATTACTTAATGAAGAATGGATCATCGATGCAATAAAAGAGGAAATTAAAAAGTTCCTGGAAGTCAATGAAAATGAAAACACAACCTACCGGAACCTATGGGACACAGCTAAGGCAGTCTGAGAGGAAAGTTTATAGCCATGAGTGCATATATTAAAAAGATGAAAGATCCCAAATCAATGACCTAATGATACATCTCAAACTCCTAGAAAAACAAGAACAAGCAAATCCCAAAACAAATAGAAGGAGAGAAATAATAAAAATAAGAGCTGAAATCAACGAAATAGAAACCAAAAAAACCATACAAAGAATTAATGAAACAAAAAGTTGGTTCTTTGAAAAAATAAACAAGATCGATAGACCCCTGGCAAACCTGACTAAAATGAGGAGAGAAAAAACCCAAATTAGTAGAATCAGGAATGCAAAAGGGGAGATAACAACAAACACCATGGAAGTCCAGGAAATCATCAGAGACTACTTTGAGAACCTATATTCAAATAAATTTGAAAATCTTAAAGAAATGGACAGATTTCTAGATACATATGATCATCCAAAACTGAACCAAGAGGAAATTAATCACCTGAATAGACCTATAACACAAAATGAAATTGAAGCAGCAATCAAGAGTCTCCCCAAAAAGAAAAGTCCAGGACCTGATGGATTCTCTGCTGAATTCTATCAGACCTTTAAAGAAGAACTGATACCAACCCTCCTTAAACTGTTCCATGAAATAGAAAGGGAAGGAAAACTGCCAAACACATTTTATGAAGCCAGTATTACACTTATCCCAAAACCAGGCAAAGACACCTCCAAAAAGGAGAACTATAGGCCAATCTCCTTAATGAACATTGATGCAAAAATCCTCAACAAAATAATGGCAAACCGAATTCAGCAACACATCAAAAAGATTATTCACCACGACCAAGTAGGCTTCATCCCAGGGATGCAGGGGTGGTTCAACATACGAAAATCAATAAACGTAATAAACCACATTAACAGAAGCAAAGACAAAAACCACTTGATCATCTCAATAGATGCAGAAAAAGCCTTTGATAAGATCCAACATCATTTCATGATAAAAGCTCTAAGAAAACTAGGAATAGAAGGAAAGTTCCTCAACATTATAAAAGCTATATATGACAAACCTACAGCCAGCATTATACTTAACGGAGAAAAATTAAAACCATTCCCTCTAAAATCAGGAACCAGACAAGGATGCCCACTATCTCCACTCCTATTCAACATAGTACTGGAATTCCTAGCCAGAGCAATTAGGCAAGAAGAAGGAATAAAAGGAATACAAATAGGTAAAGAAACTGTCAAAATATCCCTATTTGCAGACGACATGATCCTATACCTTAAAGACCCAAAAAACTCTACTCAGAAGCTTCTAGACATCATCAATAGCTATAGCAAGGTAGCAGGATATAAAATCAACATAGAAAAATCATTAGCATTTCTATACACTAACAATGAGCAAACTGAAAAAGAATGTATGAAAACAATTCCATTTACAATAGCCTCAAAAAAAATCAAATACCTAGGTGTAAACCTAACAAAAGATGTGAAAGACCTCTACAAGGAAAACTATACACTTCTGAAGAAAGAGATTGAGGAAGACTATAGAAAGTGGAGAGATCTCCCATGCTCATGGATTGGTAGAATCAACATAGTAAAAATGTCGATACTCCCAAAGTAATCTACATGTTTAATGCAATTCCCATCAAAATTCCAATGACATTCATTAAAGAGATTGAAAAATCTACTGTTAAATTTATATGGAAACACAAGAGGCCACGAATAGCCAAGGCAATACTCAGTCAAAAGAACAATGCAGGAGGTATCACAATACCTGACTTCAAACTATATTACAAAGCAATAACAATAAAAACAGCATGGTACTGGCACAAAAACAGACATGAAGACCAGTGGAACAGAATAGAGGATCCAGATATGAAGCCACACAACTATAAGCAACTTATCTTTGACAAAGGAGCTAAAAATATACGATGGAGAAATAGCAGCCTCTTCAACAAAAACTGCTGGGAAAACTGGTTAGCAGTCTGCAAAAAACTGAAACTAGATCCATGTATATCACCCTATACCAAGATTAACTCAAAATGGATCAAGGATCTTAATATCAGACCCCAAACTCTTAAGTTGATACAAGAAAGAGTAGGAAATACTCTGGAGTTAGTAGGTATAGGTAAGAACTTTCTCAATGAAACCCCAGCAGCACAGCAACTAAGAGATAGCATAGATAAATGGGACCTCATAAAACTAAAAAGCTTCTGTTCATCAAAAGAAATGGTCTCTAAACTGAAGAGAACACCCACAGAGTGGGAGAAAATATTTGCCAACTATACATCAGACAAAGGACTGATAACCAGAATATACAGGGAACTTAAAAAACTAAATTCTCCCAAAACTAATGAACCAATAAAGAAATGGGCAAGTGAACTAAACAGAACTTTCTCAAAAGAAGAAATTCAAATGGCCAGAAAACACATGAAAAAATGCTCACCATCTCTAGCAATAAAGGAAATGCAAATTAAAACCACACTAAGATTCCACCTCACCCCTGTTAGAATAGCCATCATCAGCAACACCACCAACAACAGGTGTTGGCGAGGATGGGGAAAAAGGAACCCTCTTACACTGTTGGTGGGAATGTAGACTAGTACAACCACTCTGGAAAAAAATTTGGAGGCTACTTAAAAAGCTGGACATCGATCTACCATTTGATCCAGCAATACCACTCTTGGGGATATACCCAAAAGACTGTTACTCCAGAGGCACCTGCACATCCATGTTTATTGCGGCACTATTCACAATAGCCAAGTTATGGAAACAGCCAAGATGCCCACCACTGACGAATGGATTAAGAAAATGTGGTATCTATACACAATGGAATTTTATGCAGCCATGAAGAAGAACGAAATGTTATCATTCGCTGGTAAATGGATGGAATTGGAGAACATCATTCTGAGTGAGGTTAGCCTGGCCCAAAAGACCAAAAATCGTATGTTCTCCCTCATATGTGGACATTAGATCAAGGGCAAACACAACAAGGGGATTGGACTATGAGCACATGATAAAAGCGAGAGCACACAAGGGAGGGGTGAGGATAGGTAAGACACCTAAAAAACTAGCTAGCATTTGTTGCCCTTAACGCAGAGAAACTAAAGCAGATACCTTAAAGCAACTGAGGCCAATAGGAAAAGGGGAACAGGTACTAGAGAAAAGGTTAGATCAAAAAGACTTAACCTAGAAGGTAACACACACACACAGAAAATCAATGTGAGTCAATGCCCTGTATAGCTATCCTTATCTCAACCAGCAAAAACCCTTGTTCCTTCCTATTATTGCTTATACTCTCTCTATAACAAAATTAGAAATAAGGGCAAAATAGTTTCTGCTGGGTATTGAGGCGGGGGAGAGGGAGGGGGCGGAGTGGGTGGTAAGGGAGGGGATGGGGGCAGTGGGGAGAAATGAACCAATCCTTGTATGCACATATGAATAATAAAAGAAAAAAAAAAAAGAGTCTAATGTGGTTTGAGATTTTCCTCTCATTTTTTCCCCCACTAAAGACTTCTTGATATGCAGACACATTTCCCATCTTTTGCCTTGCCACCATGGGATAACAATCCATATTTGATTCATCTTCTTCAAAAATAGTAATTGCTGATAAAACATGGTCAAAAGTCTATGCCAGTGGTTTAAATGTTAGTTGTCCTGTAGGCCTAGGCTAACTATTGTGGCCTTCTTTCTGCTACCTTTGTTTTCTAATCTAGCTCAAGCAAATTTTAACAACCCCTTCATCTTTGTATGAATCTACCTTCTATACCACTTTCACCAATTCCTTCTTAGCAGGTGTTGTTTCCAAGTTAAAGCTTCTTCAAATTAAGGCGTTAATAGCTAGCAGATACAAGCTACCTGTTCCTTTTATATTCTTAAAGCCTCAATGGGCATTAAAATTAGAAAGCCAACCATGACTTCTACTGAACCTTTTGTCTCACTTCATCAGAAACACTTCATGATCAAATTGCCAGGATTTTTTCCATTATTCTTGCCTGAATGTAATTTTTTCTGAGCCAAGGGATGCACCTGCTTTAATACTGCTTTTGTTTTTATGAGCATTTCCTGTAATATGTGTAAGGTAAACTCTCCTAAATTAGCAGCAGGAGCTATCACAGCAGTGGTTTGGTCATCTTCATGGATTTTCATCACATCTGACTTCTGTTCCAGAGTCACTGAATTTGGAGTATACTTTATAGCACTAGCACCAGCTAATGAACCCTGCTGTCACATGATGTAAGACTTTTAATTATGTGGGGAGCAAATGTTAAGATAGCAGCATAACAGTCACCAAAAACATTAACCCAAGCATCACAGCATCATGACATAGCATCATGTAATACTGATGAAGGATGACAAGAATTTTATTCTGCTAAAGTGATGGCGTTGTCTGTAATTCTTTCCACCTGCCAACTTGAAATTATGCATTTCTTGAAATTTTTAAAAATTTTTGTGCAGTTTCACAATATTTCAAATTTGAGACATAAAGTGAGAGTTTAAATTTTCACTTCACACTATTTTCAGACTCCCATAATTCAAAGTTACAATGATACCACACTGAACTTTCAAAAGACTTTCTAGTCTGAAGTGAAAATACTTGAATGTAGTAAAAAGAAAAATAACCAGATGGAATTAGCAAACACTTAAAGGAATTAAGGAATCTGAATAGAAATAAACCAGGAATATATCCTTATTAATGATTCACAGTCAAACAATAAAATTCAAAACAAAAAGCTAGTGTATAATATATTACCTTTTGAAAAGAATATGGTACAAGTAGAAAAATACTCAGATTTTATTAGAATGCTATATCCAAAATGAAAACAAACCCAAGTGGTATTATCAGGAAAAATATTAACAATAAAACTCACATTTTCAATGATCTTTGTTGTCTCTTTAGGAACTGCACCTGTTATAAATTAAAAAATACATTATATTATTCTACAAAATATGTGTAAGTAAACATGAAAGAAATCAATTTCTTCTTACTAAGGTGGGCTAGACACAGGCCAGAATTTCTCCAAAAAATGGAATAAGGAAACTCTTTGTCAGCAACACCTCTGGTTCCTAGAAAAGGTAGACTCTCAGGCACCAGTCCCATTCTACTGTATTAAGAATCTTTGGTGGAAAAGCAGCAAAGTATACTAAAATCATTTGGGTTCTTAAAAAAATTAACTACACATACCACTTCCTTTTCCACCCACACCACCTTGGTGTCTACCCACAACCCCCAGAGATAGAGAGGCATATTTCCTAGATAATGTAAAGAAAGATATTACCAATAAGAACTACTTAAGCTAGGCAACACTTACCTTCTAGCCAAATGCCTTTATATGAAAATCATACCTTTCAAAACACTGTTAGTCTTTCCTGTGGGCTGAGCAGGAGGTATTTTTGCCAATGACATCACACTGGTTATAACTGGTATTGTAGCTGTCCTTGCAGAAGGGAGCTCCATCAAAGCAGTTTGTGCCTTAGGAATACTTACTAATTAAAATAAACAAAAAGGTAAGACCTAGTATAAACAAAAGGAGCACACAAAAAAGTTTGGCAACTAGATTTTCAATAAGCAATGCAAGTATCTCTTTTAAGTCAGATTGGTGTTCAGTGGGGCTTAAAAAGAGTTTGATTCTGTAAAATGACAAGCTTCAAATGGCATTTAACAGGTAAAAATACAGGTGTTAGCTTTGGGACTAACTGAGATGCTCTACTAGTGAATATGAAAATTCCCATACTTAAGCTTCCTTAAATAAAATTTTAACTATTTAATTTTTCTAAATTGATGAAGGAGCTATCCATCTGTTAATGTTGGTTCTCTTAAGCCACATTCAGAATGAATATTCTACCACATTCATCCCCTGGTCCTAGGGAATGAATGGCTAAGATAAAAGATCAGCACAAGGCCTATGTAATTAATAAGACTACAAAGGTAGGCAAGCACCAGATTGAAAGGAGCCAAAGTACACATATTCTGTCAAGGCAACACTTTAGGCTTTGATCAGAGTACATAATATCAAGCATTTTTGATCTGTTACTTAGATCAAGGTTTGAAGGCCAGCCTGGGTGAGACTTCATCTCTAAAAAAACCAAGCAAAATGGACTGGAGGTGTGGCTCAAGTGGTAGAGCACCTGTTTTGTAGGTATTAAATCCTGAGCTCAAATCCCAGACCCACCAAAAACAAAAAAAGAAAAGAAACTGCTACTTAGGAGAGCTACTTTAAGAATATGCCATGTATCTGTTTATTCTTCTTCTGAGTATTTTGACCACATTAGCTGTCCTACTTGTAAAGTTATTTTATTCTTAGCCAGAAAAAACTTTGCTACCCATGAAGAGCTGGTCTACTTTATTTGTTCTGAGATAATTAATGTGCTGTTCTTTCTTCTTTGGCTATAAGCAAGCTCTACATCAAACCTTATACGAGTTACAGCAACTATATTAACATACATATATCCTCTCCCTTTGTTTGCCCTGATTTTCTATTTTTACTTCTAGTTTATATACTGAATAGTATAAACCCCTTAGTGTAAGTTACGTTATGTTCACATCAATTCAAATGAAAGCAATCACATTAAATTTTCTTACAAAATTAGTACTCATACATTTATTAATTTCTTGATGTGTCTGATCATGATAGCAAAGAACAATCAGAATTAATTTTCCCTCAAGATGCTGGTGAAGTGGTTCAAGAGATAGAATACCTGTCTAGCAAATGTGAGGCCTTGAGTTCAAGCCCCAGTGCCACGAAAAAAAAAAAATTTCCTCAAGGACTATCATTATGGATTCTTAGAGGAAAATTTAAGGAAATTTTGAATTCAGTGAAATACGGCTTTCTTATATTATTTTCAACTGTGTGTACTAATAGTATATCCTAACACTGACATAAAGATCCTATTAGCCAAGTCTAATTTTACCTTTATTTTGTGGAAGAGATTCATTCATACTTTGTTGATGGCAAAACTTCAAGACACAAAACAGGTTACAGAAATGTTTGATGTTGCCTCGCCATTTTATAGACTCACTTAGCTTACCCTGTCGTTTACAACCATCACACTTGGCCATCTGAGAAAGAAATGTAAGACAAGGCAGCATTAAAACTATAAAATTATGAAAAGAGGGTATAGAGTCAGTTGACACTATAAAATGCATGGGTCCTACCTTAAAATAATGTAGTTAAAAACAAATCTAGTTATTTTTTCATATAAATGCACAAAACGGAGGGAATATAAATGATGTTCTTCTGTTTTCAAAATTATTGATTAAGAAATCCTAACGGCGAGTTTCAGTTTTAAAAGATTAATACACTGCATACTGTAGTAGAAAGAATATGGGTTTTAGAGTCATAAAGACTTTGATTCATTCAACAAACATCTAATTAACATTCTTTTCTTTTAAGCACTGAGATTGTTCCTGATAATATAATGATGAAAACGATACTATCTTCCTCACTAAGAACATTTTGGAGTGAGATAGAGAAGCAAATCAGGAGTGCACTAAATTGCAGAAAGTGTTTCCCAGTTGTCACTACCAGCTTCCTCAAGGGCACATTAGTTACTTACTTCCCTGGACTCTACTCCCTTTCCTGACTGGTAAACTTGTGCCAATAATACACACAACCTTTGGGATTCCGCAAGGATTAAATGAAACAACACTTATAGGGCACCAGGTTCAATTAATTGTAGTTATCACTGTTAGCCTTTCAAAAATATAAACTTTTCTGGGCATCAGTTGCCCACACCTGTAATCCTAGCTACTTGGGAGGCAGAGATCAGAAGGATCACAGTTCGAGTCCAGCATGGGTGAATAGTTCTCAAGACCCTATCTCAAAAATACCCAACACAAAACAGGGCTGGTGGGACTGCTCAAGTGTGAGGCCCTGAGTTCAAATCCCAGTAAAACCAAAGGAAAAAAATGTACACTTTTAAAAAATAAAATAGGCATCAGTCATTGTTATTTTTGGCCTATGAAATAAGAACAAGATCTGACTTCAAATTCCTCAGAGCAACCTGAATGGGAAAGCCACTTTATGTAAAATTCTAACCTAAAAGAACTCAAAATTACAAACAAGGTCAATGTGCTTTGTAAGAAAGCACATGGGAGGAGGTCACATAATCTCTGGAAATCCTAAACCCTTTTCTCCAAAGATTCCATGTTTATACACAATCAGTTTTCCTAACGCAGGCTCATTTCTTTTACCCAGCTTTAAACACCATACTTTTCTTCACATAATTTGGACATATTTAAAATAGAAACTAATCTACACTAACTTCAGAAAGCCAAAAAAGCATAACGTATTTACCTGATAAAACAGAACTGTAAATTTTGACATGCAATCTTCACAACAAAACTCTTCTAATTTGCCCTCTAATCGATTTTCTACCAAATTTGGAGATATCTGTGAACAATAACTGCACATCTTACAGTAGTTCCCCCATCGTTCTCCAAAGTCTCGAACAGAGAGGAACTTGCAAACTAAGCATCAGAGGGGAAGAAAAGAAGATATATAAAATTCACATTAACATCAAGGAGCTAGAGTGAATTTCTATGGTCTTAGATACAAACTTAAAGCTAATTTGTAAATATATAACACAATTATTTACTTCTCTGTTACAGGATAGTCCCTACTTCCATAAAACCAACTCATATCACCTTTTAATAATATTTTGATAGTTTTTGATAGAGGCACAGTATCCTACTTGTGGCTCAAATGGCAAAGCACAAGATCAAGTTCAAACCCCAGTATCACACACACAAAGACAGACTTGAAAGTGAACTAGATACAGATTAAACATAAAAATGATTAAATTCTATCTCAGAAGAGAAAAATCACAGCTAGGTGTATGGTGGCTCACGCTTATAATCCCAGTACTAGGGAGGCTGAGGCAAAATGATCAAGGTTAGCCAGGGCCACATAACAAGACCCTGTCTTGGGGCTGGGGCATGGCTCAAGCAATAGAGAATCTGCCTAGCAAGCACAAAGCCCTGAGTTCAAACCCCAGTACCACCCAAAGGAAAAAGAAAAAAAAAAAAAATCAAGACCCTGTCTCAAACCCTCCTACCACCACCACCACCACTCCCTGCAAAAAAAGAATAAAATTACTTAAAAACTAATCTTTGACGTGGATTATTTTAAAACAACTATGTGCCATGTAGATACAACTGAACTTCTTTCTTTACCTTCACTACAGAATGGTTTGTCAACCCCTGAGAATCTCACAGTCTCCTTTATGATTTTCTGGAGTTTACAGTAGTCACACATTGCCACAACTTTATTTTTCCTTTTGTATTCATCACAGCAAGTCTTGGCACAAAATAGAAACATCGTACCCTGCAGAGAAATACAGTCATTAAGATCTAACTAAACAGCTGCTTTCTCTTGAAGAAATCTTTTTCCGTCTCACTTCAAAGCAAACTGAGTAACTATCAAAGATGAAAAGACAGAAGTGTTTTTACTGGATGAGTTTATATTCAACCCCTTTCATGATCTCTCTTTACCTTGTAGAAAAGCAGCTCTGGTTTTGTGGCAAATAGATGGTTACAGTGCTGACACTTGAGTTTCATGAATGTATTGGTTAAAGCAATCTGCTGGGATTGTTCAGCAAGAGTCTGGAGCGCAGCTGCAGCAGGGCCACTGACTGGGCTACTGAAAGGGTTTTGGATGGTGACAGAAGCCGGGTCACATCCTCCAGTTGACACTGTTGACCCTGAGGGCACACTCACAACCACCTGGCCCTGAGATGGGGTTGCCACCAAGGAGTTTGCTCCCTTTGGCTTATTAAATACATTCTGAATGAAAACAAATAAAGCAAAGATTTTAACAAATAAGAAGTAATATGACTTAGTAATTTTATTTCCTTATTTTAATGAGCTAATCCCACCACAATTTTTTTTAATCTTATTTCTCACAGAACATGTTTTAGTGTCATACTTCCAGAATAGAAGAACTGAGAAATGAAACATTCAAATATCTCCACCACATGCCTCTAATACATTACAGTAGGCCTGTCCTTTCCTTAGAGGGAAAATAGCCACCAAGTCATGGTAGCTGTAAGGACACAGTAGATACCAACATCCTTTCCCTTGGGGCCAGCCATCCTCCCACCCAATGATCAAGAAACTCTTCGCTTTTTCTGTGCTTTTGCAGAGAGGGAGGTGAAAATGAGCAAAGTGGACACAATTCCATGTCTGGAATCATTAGGCCTCTGGTCCAGGAGGAGAGGAAAGGTCACATGAGCCCCACTGGGCTATTGTTCTTCACCACACCACCTTTCAAAACACATGAGAGGTTTAAAAGGGTGAAAACAAACTGAGAAAGTGGGAAAGAAGGGTAGTTTAGGCAAGAACCTGAATAAGGAAGCCCAGTATCTGGGCTCAAACATTTTGTAGGAATGACCTATTGTCGGGTCTGGAGACCTAAGGCAGATGAGTGAGTATCCCATCCCCCATGGAGAGCAGTATCATTCCTGCATCCTGAGGAGATGGAGGCCTGCATTCCTGCATCCTGAAGAAGAGATACAGAGTCTTGATAGATCTGCCACAGGGCTGATGAGTGAAATGCTCTCAAGATTATCCCCTTCCCCCAATAAAGGTGCTAACTATACCAGTTCACCTAAGAAAGCCTGTGAAATGCACGGCCAATGAACACCCCCTCCCCCAACCCAGAGTTAAAACATCCATAAAAACCCCAGCCTTCACCTGAGCAGCGAGTTACCAGCTTCTGGGCTCTGCTGCTCTTCTCTAGCTGTAGCTTTCCTTTCTCTCTAATAAATCCTACTTTATATACCACCTTTGGCTCATCATTCAGCTGCCTCATGAGCCAGTTCTCTGGGCTGTGAAGGCAAGGACCCTCAACCCTAGACCGCAACACTTCGACAGCAGCACATAATACTATGGAACCCTGGTTGAACAGAAGTTTAAATTTAAGGTAAAAAGAAAAAGTTAAGCATGAACCTTCAGCAGTAACGTTTTGTCATAAATCAGTGCCTAAGGTAACTTAAGGGATAACTTAGATCATACCTGGAAGGCCATCACACAGTTGGAGCTGCAGAAACTGTATATAGTTCCATTTGACATAGCTAAGTGATACTGAGGGTTTGCTGAGGTTTTACAACTGTGACATAAAACCTGGAGACCTAAATGACAAAAAAAAAAAAAAAAAACCCACCCAAAACAACAACAAAAACAATGAATATGTTACACAAATGAACAGTGATCCAAAAATCTAGTAGTAAGGAAAAAAAGAAATCAACTACTCAGCTCCCTTGGTATACTGAGGGGACTGGCTCTAGGAATCCCCAATAATACCAAAATCCACAGATGCTCAAGTCTCTTACATAAAATGGCACAGTAGCTGCATATAATTTATGTACAACTTCACAAACATCATCATATACACTTTAAATTACCTCTAGATTACTTATAATTTCTAGTAAAATGTAAATGCTACATAAATAGTTGCTGTACTGTATTGCTAGGGGATGGTGACAAGAAAAAACAAATGTCTACACATGTGCAGTACATATGTAATTTCTTTTCCAGAAATTTTTGGTATTTTGTTAATATGATAATTGTACAAAGAGGTTTCACAATGGTGTTTCATACATGCTTATATTGGACTTTGATCAGATTAACCTCTTCTATAGCTCTTCTTTTCCCCATTTCCATTAATATTTTTGATTCATGGTTGGTTGAACCTGTGGGTACAGAACCCATAGGTGTGGAAGACCAACTATAATATTAAAAAATATATATAAATTTTAAAAATCAAGGAATTTTACATTAAATCTATGAATGTAAAAGTAACTTCAACTGACTCTCACTTACACAAAAACTTAAGTATTCTTTCTTCTTTCTTCATTCTTCACAAAACTTTTATAGTTTTATGAAATTATAAAATATATTTCACAACCAAGGAAATCAGTGAAAAACTATTATTTACACTTAAAAATCAGTTCTTAGTCAGGCGCCAGTGACTCATGCCTATAATCCTAGCTACTAAAGAGGCAGAGATCAGGAAGATCACTGTTTGAAAACTAGCCATGGGCAAATAGCTCATGAGACCCTATCTTGAAAAAACTCATTCACAAAAAAAGGTTGGCAGAATGGCTCAAGCTGTACAGTACCTGCCCAGCAAACATACCCTAAGTTCAAACCCCAGTGCCACCAAAAAAACAAACAAAAAAACCACCAAAACCTACAACCAGTTATTATTTTTTAAATACGGAACACTGCACACTTGCACAGGGACCATACTACACTTCTCTGTATTGTTCCAATTTTACTGTATATACTGTTGAAGCAAGCACAAAAATCACTTCTTTAAAAGTAAATGAAAGCCAGGCACCAATGGCTCACACCTGTAATCCTAGCTACTTGTGAGGCTGAGATTAAGAGGATCATTGTTCAAGGCTAGCCCAGGCAAATAGTTTGCAGAGCAAAACACTCTGGAGACGTGCCTCCAGACATAGGGTGCCTGCTTTGGAAACATGAAGCCCTGAGTTCAAACCCGAGTACCTCAAGAAAAAAAAAAAAGCAAATCAATCTTGGGTCTTTGTTTAACCATATAGATAAATTTAATTTATATTACAACAAAATGAAAAAAAGCAACTATAGTTTTCTTCAGCAGTCACTAAATCTATACATTTATCAAATTTAAACATTACCTGAAGAAGTCACAGTCTTAACTCTGTAGGCAGATAAGCAATTAATAGAGCAGAAGAGCTCTGTTTTTCCTGAGTCATTCGTAGTTTCAATCATTTCAGCTGAGGGCCTCAATGATTTCCCCAAGGCATAGGGAGGAGTCTGGGCTGAATTCTATTAAGAAAATAAAATAACATTTAGATGTACACAAGCATACATACACCTATAACCTTTGCCTTTGATTGAAATATTTGACCATGACAATGAGAGTACACTAAGTACTGGACTTTTCTGAAAGTTAGGATATGGGAAAAACAATTTCTTTCAGATGATAATAAAATATAAAATGAAAACTGCTACTACTCATATTTTAACAATAACAAAACTACAAGTAATGAATAAGGTAGTGATAACATAGTTTTCTCATCACAAATAACCAGATAGGGTCAAGTAATCAGTGAACCAAAGTACCATTCTCAGGAATAGACCTGGGCCTCAGGCTTGGGGGACTCTATCACTTTTAAGGATACTTTACTTGGGAAACCTTTCAGCAAGAAATAGAAAAGAAACTTAAGGCCTATCAGGAGACCTTACAAAACTTCCTACTTCTCAAGCTGAATTTTACAATAAAATCTGCCTGTAAGTTTATTCACGTCTTAAGAAATACTAGTAATAGCCTGGTGCTGCTTGCTTACACCTGTAGTCCTAGCTCTAGAAAGGCTGCAACTAGGAGGATTGCAGCTCGAGGCCAGCCTGGGCAAATAGTTTGAGACACCCATCTCAGAAAAATAATCAGAACAAAATGAACTAGAGGTGTGGCTCAAATGGCAGAGCACCTGCTTTACAAGTGCCTGCTTTGCAAGCATGAAGCTCTGAGTTCAAACCCCAATCCCACAAACGATAACAATAACTACCATTATATCATCAACATTATTAGTTTTTGAATGTTTAACATGAGCCAGATCCCATGCTAAACTATTTATATATTCTGTACCACAGAATTATTTTCAACAACATAGTGAAATATTTTTAAAAATTATTATTAAAAGTTTAAATTAATTTTAATTAAATTCACAGAAAAACCAAAGTAGGAAATTAAATTTATTTCATCAGACCCCCAAAATTTAGATTAAAAATTATACTATGCAATCACCAATACACTAGAAGTTCTCTTAGTAAAAAGATAAGTGGTAAGGAAGTATAAACTGTGAAGTTTCACATAATCTTCCTAGTAAAAGAGAAGTATCACTTAAGCAGTTCAAAGAGTATAATACCATTAGAAAATTAAAAATGACTTTTAGATTATATATAAAATAATATGGATTTTCAGTGATAGTACCCACACTGCAAAAAGTAACAATACCTAGAAAAAAGAGGTACTTTCCAACAATGAATGTGCACATTACCTACTGCTTACAGGAATTAACAACTCAAAAATTTGACAACTGGAAACTTTTATTATCATCTACATCTTTTATAAGAAAAAAAAAACTTTAAAAAATCAGGGCTGGTGGGTGGTGTGGGGTGGAGTGACCAACCACCACATCTATAATCCAAGCACCCATGATACGAGGCAGGAGGATCACAAGTTAGAGGCTGGCATGGGATACATAGTGTTGCTGGGCCAGCCTGGACCTCAAACTCATGATACTCCTGCTTCAGCCTCTCGAGTGCTGGGATTACTGGCGTGTGTGCCACCCCACCTGGCTACCCTTGAATTCTTGCTTATAGTTTACCTACAAGGAGTTTTCTTTATTATGAATATTTCATACTGTCAGTAAATCATGAAATTACATCTATGAGTTTTTAGCCATGAGGAAAACATTAAAAAGTGGTCCATTTCACCTTTATCGTCTCACTCCATGATCATCCCTACAGTACTAGAATATATCCCATTTTCTTGGAGAGGAAATCATACATCAGGCTGAACAGATATTCAGGACGAATGTTTTCATTTTAAACTTCATCCCTGTACAACCAGCTCAGGAGTGAGCCTAACTAACAGATACTCATACCTGCTTATATGCTGTGACACTTGTTGAACTAAAAACCTTCTGAGACTGGCAAGGTCCAGAGCTGCTATAGCAATAGCTCCCACAGTTCTCACAGCAGTTCATGGTGAGGTTGTTGGTAGTGTGAAATTTTGAAAAACAAGCATCACTGCAAAGACCATGTACCACATTTTGATATTTAACTTCAAATCGAATCTACAAAATAAAAACAGATACAAAGTAAGCAGAAATGGTTAAAAAAAAAAAAAATCAGTCTGAGAGTGTGGCCTGAATGCTTGCCTAGAATGTGTACAGCCCTGGATTCAATCTCCTATACCTCAAAAAACTCAAAACAAAACAAAAAAACCCCCACAAAACCCAAAATCTCTGATCCTTTAAGCAGAATCCCAATGAAAGTAAAATGTAACTTACATCAGCATTTTTCTGACACATACTACACTTAGTAGAAATGCCACTGGTGTATATAGTAACAACAGGTTTTTTCTTTAGTTCATAGGAAGACAAGCATGATTGGCTGCAGAAATCTTTGCTAGGAGAGGAACTTTCAAACTGGGTTGTGATCACATCCTTTGGATTTAAAATGTCTCTAAAAATAAATAACAAAGGCAAAATGAATTACATAACAATTTTAACTTCTTCCTCTGTGAGCTGAAATAACGTTCACTAGAGGAAGCTAGTACATAGCAGAAAATGCCCTAGATAAAGTACCTGAAAACCTACATCTGATGATTAGTTGTTACTTATTACTGTCTCAATTTCCTCATGTAAAAAGAGGGTTTTATAATATCTAACTTGCAGATGTGCAGAGGGAGACACATATACAGTGAGACTTCCAACTCCAGCCAAGTTTCATTCACTGGAGCCAACAGAACTAGATTCAAAGGACATCCCACAAGACCAGGAGACACGTGTCCTCTTACTAGCTAGTAGCTGCCAAGAGCAGAGACACAAATGAGACAATAAATGAAATTATTAAAAATTAAAAATATAAAGGAACAGATGAACTATCAGAGATTAACATTAAAAAATAGCATGATACATAACCCTCAGCTATAAATGAGATAGGAAGAACACAAATAAGAATAGTTCTGTGAAACATCTATAGCCATTTTTTAAGAACTAATTATTACAATAAGCATTGACAGCAATTCCTTGGTAAGGTAGAGGCTATATATTACTATTCTTCAGACAAGTATAAAAACTGAAGGAAATAGTCATTAATTAGACAGTATAGGACACAAAGTAAATAATTATATATTACAATAAGTTTATTAATTACTACATATCAGGTATTGTTCTCTTTATTTATATTATCCAATTTAAATCTCACAAAAACATTATGAGGAAAGTATTACTATCACTGCTAATTTAGATAAGGAGACTGAGTCAGAGGTTAAATTGCCTCTCAAAGTCATTCTGCTGGTAAGCAGTGATTTAAGAATACAAATCTAGGCAATCTGGAGTTAATCATTCCACTATCCTGCCTCCCTTCCTATACCTTTATCATATAGAACTGTTCCACGATAAGTCCTGAAAGAATAACAACAAATTATTTTAATTTCCAAGCCAGGCATGGTGGCTCATGCCTGTAATGTTAGCTATTCAGGAGATGGAGATAAGGAAGATCACAGTTCAAGGCTAGCCCAGCAAAAAGTTTGTGAAACCCAAACGTAGTGTTATACACCTGTCACCCCAGCTACTCAGGAAGCATAAATAGGAGGACTGCAGTCCAGGCTGGCCTGGACATAAAGCAGGACCCTATTTGAAAAGTAACTAAAGCAAAAAGGGATGGAGGAGTGGCTCAAGTGATAGATCAGCTGCCTAGCAAGCACTAGGCCGTGTTCAAACAACAGCACAACAACAACAAAAAAAATCTAAAACTCATTTAACCTTAAAAATATGTACGACCATGAATATGCTGGGAAACCAAGTAGGTATGCTTAGACACAGAAAAAGTATTAATTTTGAAAAGTGATTTGTTTTTACTAAAAACAGCAATAAAGGATTTTATTTAATTATATTTAATAAAGGTAAATCTGCCAATGATATATGGCACATATAAACCAATGAGAATAATTTTATAATGAAACTCTGTATATATAAATATAAATGGACTCTAAACCTTATGTATCCGAATGAGTGTTACAACATAATGTTTTCCTGGAAAAAAACAGGTCTATTCCTATAACACAGCTCAAAATATTTTCTCCTAACTTCTCTTTTTATTTTATTTTTCTAATCTCTTCTAACTTATTAGAACCATGAAAACAGTTTTGTTTTGTTTTTTGGCAGCACTAGGGTTTGAACTCAGGACTTCATGCTTGCTATGCAGGCCCTCTTCCTATTTGAGTCACTCCACCAGCCCTTTTTTGAGAGGGTCTCTAAGGCTATTTGCCTGGGGCTGGCTTTGAATGGTAATCCTCCTGATTTGGGCCTCCTGAGTAGCTGGGATTACAGGAGTGAGCCACTGGTGCCTAGTTTAAATTTCTTAATTTTATGTTAAATCTCATGTTTAACATAATAATTACCCACTCTACTGACTTGAAAAGGCATCAAGTAACTTTTGGCAATTTGTAAAAACCCATGCTAAAAACACAGATTTGTCACCTAACCTACTTCAAAGCAATGTTTCATAGGCTCTAAAAGCAATGCCAAAATCAAGGTATCAAAAAAATTGACGGAGTTTGGGGATTACTGGGTTTGATCCCCAGCACCACACAAAAAATTATTTTTAATAAAATTTTCATAAGAAAAAAAAGTAAAATTTATTTTTTAATAAGAGCAGCACTGTGGTAAACATTACTGACAAAGATGGTTACTTTTGGGGGATCAGCACTAAGGTTTGAACTCAGGGCCTCACACTTGCTAGTCAGGTGCTCTTATAGCTTGAGCCACTCTGCTAGCCCCAACAGTGGCTACTTTTAAGAAAACAATATGCATTTAGATGTACAAAGTCATGCTTTGTTCTTTAAATTTTAATTCACTTAATTTTGATATTTGATATGTTGAAACTAAGTATCTAAAAATAGAAAATTAAGGGGCAGGGGGGAGAAATGACCCAAACATTGTATGCACATATGAATAAAATAAAAATTAAAAAAAATATATATAGAAAATTAGATTTAATCTTTCCTATCAGTTTCATTAAAATAAAATAAACATAAAATGACATGTTTAAAGGGCATTTTGAGTATTTAAGCAAAATATTTAAAATCTTTTTAGTGGGAGATTTCCATTTAAGCAGGATTTACTTTCTGGATTCCTTGGACCAACACACCATACAGATAAAGAAACTGTCATCTTGCACTATAATCCTAGCTACTGAGGAAGCAGCGATCAGGAGGATCACAGTTTGAAGCAACTCTGGGCAAATAGTTCTCAAGACCCTATCTTGAAAAAAAAAAAAAAAACCCATCAAAAATGTGCTGGTGGAGTGGCTCAAGGTATAGGCCCTGAGTTCAAACCCTGGTACTGCAAAAAAAAAAAAAAAAAAAAAGAAACTGTCATCTATCTCCAAAGACAAAAAAAAAAAAAAAGCCTATAAAAATTATACGTTAACAATACATAATATTATATAATTATAAATAATAGTACATGCAATTTAAATTTAATTCTTATTAGTAATAAGATACCATTTATTATATACTTGCCAAGTGTTAACATTGCCTCATTAAGATCCTAGGAAGTAATATTATACTTGCCAATGAAAATCTGAGATTTAGAAAAGTTAAAATATCCGGTCCAGGCTCACTCACCTAATAACCACAATCTAATACTTATTTTTGTGTGGTCCTGGGTATGGAGCCCAGGGCCTCACATATGCTAGGCAAGTACTTCTACTACTGAGCTACATTTAGCCTTAAAACCAACTTCTTGTCTTGCTGTACAACAGGGACTAATGACAACACAAATTTTATAAAATTTCATTTGTCTCATTCTTGCTTCCACTCTTGACAGCTGCTGACTAGTAAGAGGAAACGTGTCTTGTGGTCTGGAGTTGTAGATGGCTGAACCTAGTTCCATTGGCTCTAGCAGATGAAACTTAGTTGGAAGATGGAAGTTGCACACTATATTCCTGGAACTACTACCATGGAAATAGGCAAAACATACTAAGTTCATCAAATGCACTGAGACAGGGAAAGGTTTATTTAACTTCGCTATTTCCTCATCTCTGCATCTAAGCATTATTGTAATGCAACAATGATCCCGATAAAAGCTCATGAGGATATTAGAAACAAGTAACCATTTTTGTGACCTAAAAGTTTTTACCTTCTAATGAATTAAGTAACTTTCATATACTATTAAGAGTGATATTGGACTGGAGGTGTGGCTCAAGTGGTAAAGCACCCACTTTGCCAAAAAAAAAGTGACACAATTTTATTCCATACTTTAGTAAGTTAAAGAGAAGTATTAAATATTTTAAATAGTTGTCCACAATTACAGGATATATGAGTGCTCTTACAAATCCTACAAATATTTTATTTCTTTCCATAACAAAATTTAAACTGAAAGAGACAGAAAACTGGTTTAGGCAATACTTCTAAGACCAAGTTACTTGTTAAATGCTGTAAAATTTTAGACCAAGTTGTTGCATATTCTCCCACTAGCTAAAAAGCAATTTCTTTCTTTCTTTCTTTTTTTTTTTGTATAAGTACTAGGGTTTGAACTCAGGGCCTTACACTTACTAGGCAGGCACTCAGCACTTGAGCCATTCCACCAGCCCTGAAGTGCTATTTCGATAGAAGTGTGCTAAAGAGATTTAAAGTATCAATAGCATGTTTAAACTAAACCACATACAAACTTAAAAAAATAAAGTAAAAAGTGATGTTAAGAATTTCATACTTTGAGCAGTTTGTGCAGGTTTTCTTCGGAGGAGGTGGTAGGCAGACAGGTAAAGAGTATCTGCTAATACATCGTGTGGAACAGAAGAGCTGAGTAGAGCCTGTCTTATGATATGCAGTTTGTCCCTTATAAAGCATTTTTTTACAACCAGAACAAAAAACCTGAGCAGTTGGGCTTGGAACTGAAGGAACCAATATATTTGGGCCAGATGGTGCAAGCTGAAAGCCTGGGGTCAACTGTTGGGCTAGCAAAACAAAATAATAAAAAGAAAACAGTTTTAGTATCAAAGCTAATGCATATACATTTTTTAGGACAAAATTTCTGTCTTGAAATCCAATAGTAAGGAGACTAAGCACTCAAAAATAAGAAGTTTCAGACTTTTTTTTTTTTTTTACCATGACCCATGATAAGAATTACATCTTTTCTTTTTTGCGGTACTGGGGTTTGAACTCAGGGCCTTCACCTTGAGCTACTCCACCAGCCCTTTTGGTGATGGGTATTTTTGAGACAGGGTCTCAAAAACCATTTGCCTGGGCTGGCTTTGAACTACAATCCTGATCTTTGCCTCCTGAGTAGCTAGGATTACAGGCATGAGCCACTGGCGCCCAGCTAAGAATTACATCTTAATTATAATCCAGTTTTCACATATATATGTGTGTGTGTCTAATGTATTAACTTTAAACAGAAGTTTCATGAAACAATACTTTTCTTTAACATATACATCACCTTCACATATAATCTTACTCTACTCATTTTTTTAAAACAGAAACTGCAGTTTAAGAAACATGCTCTGAAAGAGCAGAAAGCCTTACATGAGGAAGTGCTTTCCCTCAATTCTACCAGACAGAATAAACAAGTATTAACTAATTAACTTATATGGTTGTATCTCTTACCAAGATGACTGTCACTAACTGAAAATACAGCACTAATTTTCAATTCACTTTCTTGAGTTTTTGGTGGTTGGGCCTGTCCATATTCCTTTAAAAACAAGAGAGAAATAAATACAGTACACTTAGGTAAACTAGAAATTCAAGCAAAAACTGATCTTATATTCATCTCTTATATGTTCTAATCATAATCACTTTATGAATACCTCAGAAGTCAAAACCAGAGTTAATGTTTAAAAAGACAATCTTCCAGAACTGGATAACATTTTACAAATACTTCTATCTACTTTTCAGATGCAATACTGACATGTGAGAATAATTATACACAGCTATTCTAAATCTGAACACAACCCATTCTTTAGGATGTATTTAAAAAGGAATGATAAATGAAATGAAATCTGAATGATGTAAAGTTTAAATCCAGATTCGTAATGTTGACCAACAAGCTTACAAACTGTCACATCTATGAATGGCAAAAGACGCAGAAATTTAGGGCTGGGGAGTGGCTTAAGTGGTAGAGTGCTTGCCTAGCATGAGGCCCTGAGTTCAAATTCCAGTACCAACACCCCATCCCAAAAAAAGACACAGAAATTTAAATGCAGTTTGCTTATTATACACAAAATCATCACAGCCTAAATCAGACTTATCTTTAGTATGTTCCCTTACAGGTTGTTGTAAAAGAAAATATGATCATTAAGTAACATGTCCTTATCTTAAGAAGAACTGCTCTTTATTCTGAGATTACAATCAGGAGGATGTGGTTCAAGGCTAGCCTAGGCAAAAAGCTCATGAGACCCACATCTCAACCAATAACTGGGTGTTGTGGTATGTGCCTGTCAACCCAAGCTATGCAGGAGACTGAGATCAAAAGGATTATGGTTCCAGGCCAACCTAGACAAATGAAGCTTCAGAGATTCCATCTCAATGACAAAAAGCTGGGCATGGTGATGCGTGGCTGTCATGCCAGTGATGGCAAGAAGCTTAAAAAGGAGGATCAAGGTTCAGGCCAGCCTGGGCAAAAAGTAAGATACTATCTCAAAAGTAACCAGAGCAAAAAAAAAAAAACAAGGGGTGGGGGGTGCTCAAGTGGCAGAATGTCTCCCTAGCAAGTGGAAAGCCCTGAGTTCAAACTCCAGCACCACCAAAACCTAAAAAAAAAAGGAACTATCATGTCATCCTTACAAATGAGGAAAGTGAACTTTAGAGATGTTCACCAATGCCCAGCAAAAGTGGACATCCTTAAATAGTACTCTGTACTTAAACAGAATCTGTCTCCCGAATGCAGGGATTACAAGTGCCACCATGCCCAGCTCTGATCAGTTTCTTTACTTCAAAAGTGTTCTAATCCATCATTCCTAAGTCCAAACCTCACGTACTTCCTGCTCACTGATGCTTCAACTTCACCAGGTGAAAGCAACTCCCTCAACATCCTGATTCCCCCCTCCACTATATCTACAAACTGATCAGCAAACTATCCTCTTACCTCCCAGGAAAAAACCTTTTCTTCACCACAGTTAACAGAGTGCTTATGTTCTGGATTCCCTTCCCTCTCCCTTCTTTCAGCATTCCATCCAATCCTCCTTTATCTTCTGCCTCTATCTTTATATTGGTGTCTTCCCTTCATCTTATATATGAATTTGTTCCTTTAGAAACTACTACTGTCTTCTCTTCTTTCTCCCTTTACAAGGAAAGCTACTTCATTCTTTCTCTACTTTCTCACTTTGATTCCCTCCTGAACCCAATATAATCAGGCTACTAGTTCAACTGAAACTGTTTTAAGATAGAGAATCACCCCACAATTGCCTAATCCAATAAACACTTTTGGTTTCTTACTTGGCCTCTTAGATACATCTGACACTACCAGTGATTCCACTGTCATTGCTTCTTTTATTTTGATTGCTTCTTCTTTGTATCTGCAATAGGTTGAATGAGTCTCCTGCCAAATGCATATGTTGAAACTCTAATCCCTAAGGTGAAGGTATCTGGAGGTGGGGACTTTGAGTGGTAATTAAGTCATGAAAGTAGAGCCCTCATGAAGGGCATTAGTAGCCTAATTAAGAAAAAGCCAGAGAACTAGCTAGCTTTCTTCCCATGATCTAAGGCTGCAACAAGAAGTTGGTAGTTCCTGGAAGAGAACTGTCACCAGAACCTGACCATGCTAACAAAGTGATCTCAGACTTTCAGCCTTCAAAACTGTAAAAACTAAATTTCTGCTATTTGTAAGACATTCACTCTATAGTAATTTGTTATAGCGGCACAACATGACTTAGTGCAATGGTTTCAATATGGTTTGTCTTCTCTGAAACTCATGTTGAAATCTGCATTGAGAGGTGGTAGGGCCCCTCAGAAGTAACTAGGTCATTTAGAAGAGATGATGCCTTTCTTATAGAACTGATTAGTTACTGAGAAAGAGCAGGTTATTATAAAGTGAGGCTGTCCTTCATGTTTTGTCTGTTCCATCTATGTTTGCCCTTCTACTTTTCCACTAGGAGGTAACATTATCATGCACTCATCAGAAGTCAAGCAGAGGGTGGCAGAATGCCTCATACAGCAGAGCACCTGCCTAGCAACATGAGGCCCTGAGTTCCAACTCCAGTACCAGCACCTAAAAAAAAAAAGCCAAGCAGATGCTAGTAAACATGTTCTTGGACTTCCGGGTTCCAAATGTGAGCCAAAATAATCACCCAGTTTCAGCTATTCTGTGATTAACAGAAAATGAACCAAGACAGACAGTAACCTTTATTGTGCAATTTTTAACAAGTTACTCTCTGTGTCTTAGCAACTCATGTAAGACAGGAATAAAAACATATTTAATTCAGGGTTAAGAGCATCAAGTTGATTAATATATGTAAACTGCGCTCAACAGTATTTAAGTGTTATGGATTACAGTAAGCAGGAATGAAACTCACTGAATAACTGAATGAGAGGTCACCTTAAGATGCAGAAAAAACTTAGTATATCAGATAATATTAAACATTTTAGATTTCTTACCTACTCTATTTTCCTATGTTCTGAGATTCATCAATGCAACATGGAAAACTATACACACAATTTGTCCAATTAGGTTTTAATCAAAGTCCACATCCTCAATCAATATCCAGCCTATTCATGTCTAAGAATTATTATAAACCAAAGAGAACTAAGGAGGTCCCTGTCCACTTAAATTTATCATCTAAGCTGCTAAGGAGATTTCCATTATTACAGTGTTTACATTCAGAAAGAACAGTAAAGTTATAGAACAATACTTGGTATCATGGAAGAAATACTGGATCTGGGGCAAGGAGAAAACCTGGTTTGCATCCCACAGGACACTGATACCTATGAAACAGAAACTCTCCTATTCTGATTACTGGACATGTACTTTGTGTTAGTCATTGAACTAGGAATTGGAGATTCAGTTCAAGTAAATCCAATCTCTGGCTTCAAAGAATGTAAATATGGAGGTAGAGGGTGGAAGAAAAGAGAATGACAGGATTAATGTGATCAACATAAAAACAAAACTTGCAGAGTGACTCAAATGGTAGAATGCCTGTCTAACAAGTATGAAGCCCTGAGTTCAAACCCCAGTACTGACAAAAGCAAAACAAAACAAAAAACTCATTGACCAGCTTACCCAGTATGTAGGGGGCTCTGGACTGGACTCCCAGTCTCCAAAAAATTAACTGATGAGTAGATACAATAAAAAGTGAATTCAAAAGAAAAAAGGAATAATCAATTCTACCTGAGAAACAGTTACACTATACTTTAAAAAAGAAACTTTGTGCCAGGCTACCTAGTGTATTTCTTCTTCTGCATGTACAAAGGCAACAAAAAAAAAACTGAACAAAATTTATCTTTGAGCAAACAGTTTGAAAGAGCACAGATTAGAAAAAATGGGAAGGATGACGGATGACATTAAAAAAGAAAATAAAGGCTAGTTTGGTTAGTCTGGATGTTGCACTAGAAAGTTCATGCTTTACCATATAGGTAAAGGAGAGAGAAGTAGGATCAGATCTATAAAGAACAAAATGGGACTGGATGTATGGCATAAGCAGTAGAGCAACTGTTTTGTAAGCGAAAAGCCGAGTTCAACACCAATCCCATCAAAAAAGAAAAAAAAATTAAACTAAAATAGCTGGATGCTAGTGGCTCACACCTGTAATCTTAACTACTTGGAGACAGAGATTGGGATGACCAAGGTTCAAGGCTGGCATGAACAAACAGTTCTCAGGACCCCATCTCCAAAATTACCAGAGCAAAATGGACTGGAGGTATGGCTCAAGCAGCAGAGTCCCTGCCTTGCAAGTCGAAGCCCTGAGTTCAAGGCCCAGTCCCACAAAAAAAAAAAAAAATACCTAAAACGACATCCTTTCCCCACATCCAGTATTTGTTTCATTGTATCTTGCCCAGTGTACATAAACTTAATATTTTATGTAAGTTCATTTTTTCTTTCTGGTTAATAGCTTTGTTTTGGGGTTTTTTGGGCAGTACTGGGGATTTGGACGCAGGGTTTCACACTTGCCAGGCAGGTGCTCTACCATTTGTGTCATGCCTTCAATTCATTTTTTTTTCTGAATATAAGCCACTGTGATAATGGAAATCTCCCTATTATAAATTTCAATATTCAAATATTGGCAAAGTTACTTTGGGCACAGGAAGATAAGCAACTTTTCATCTGGAGGAAAAATAAATGTCATGGATGCTCCCACCCGACCCCACATCCTGCAGACACTACCTCAGAGCCTTCTTAGCATAGCACCTAGAAAGGCATGGAGTTCACTAGTGAGACAAAGTCTATCTGGTATTCCTGTTCTCAAATGATTCTGCTGTGAGATGATGTGAGAAACTAAACATTAGTTTTATTCATTGTATTAATTAGTTTATGTATTTGTAATTTCTAGGTATTATTACTTTAGTTACACAATGAACTTTCCATATTGATTTTCATGTTCCTAATCTGGCTCCCTCAGGGGTGGTCGGAATGCTCTTTCAAATACAAATGCTTCATATTACTGTCCTACTTAAGACCCTCCCCATTGCTGACAGAAAAGACCAAAATTCATGCCAAAGTCTACAAGAGCCTACATAATCTACCCTCAAACTACGTATCACAGAAGCAGGATAAAGTAGGCTCTGAGGTGTAACCACAGTGGTGTGAATAGACTTAGTTATTTACTAACTGTGGTCTGTGAAAAAATGCTTGGCTTTTTTGTGCATCTGTAAAGTGGAATAATAATATGGCCGTGAGAGTGCCACCTGGTACACTCTAAGCATGCATAAGTAAGTATTACTAACAAGTTATGTTACCTACTGTTATGCCTTAGAATAGCTTGCAAATCGATATACTAGTACCATCTGCTTTTATTGTTAATCATCAACACCACCACTATTTTTACACCTTTTCTGTTCCAGGGCCACAGTCTTAGTTCTTTAAAAGAACTACGCATCTTTGCAACTCAGGACTTTCCTATTTGTAGTTCCCTCTGTCTATCCAGTGCATGCCTCTTTGCCATTTGCCTAGTCTTCTACTGGAACCTAACCCCCTCTTATCAAAACAGGGGATTTTAGCTTATAAATAAAAACTGCCAAAAAAAAAAAAAAACTGCCTCAGTTTTCTATTCACTAGATGGAAAAAGAGGAATTAAAAAAAAAAAAAAACACTTTAAAAATCAAGAGGGAATGCTTACTTGAGCATCATCTGGTTCTTCTTTAATTTTGTCCAGAAGCCTCTGTTGTGGTGATATTGCTTTGTCACATCGACCATCCAAAGGCTCTTTCATTCTAATTTTTTTAGGTACAGGAGTTCCCCAGTTTAAAACTAATAGATTTCTTCTTGGTAATGAATACCTGGACTCCTAAAACATAACAGAAAAGATTGACACTCATGTTTTAATTTCCGTCATGTTTATATTGAAACTTCGGGATCAAGCACTTGAAAAAGAACCATTCTGGGACTCTAACTCTGTTCTCCTTTAGGAGCTACCGTCACATGAGAGAAGTCTTCCAGCAAAAGCTCCCACTTCCCCAGTACCTTTAAAGGCAAGCACTGTGATCTTTAATGTGGTGAAGGTTGTCCCCCTCAGACCAAGCCATGGGAGGAAGTTACCAAGCTCTCAGGGGAATGAACTCAAAAAATATGGTTCAATTTCATGAGTATTATGATTTGGAGGCCCAAGTCAGCTTTTGTTTTTTTATTTTTTATTTTTTTTGAGTCAGGGTCTTCTTATGCAGCCCAGGCTAGCCTCCGAAGTGCTGGGAACACTGGCATGAATCACCACGCACGGGTTCCACAAGTGGTAGGCTAAGCTCGCGTTTAACTCAGGCTTCACTGGAACCCTCCAAGGCCTAAGACCAGATCAGAGCTCATGATCCCATTACAAATGGACAACAGGTACGCTCATTTTTTTAAATTTTTTTTTCCAGTATTGGAGGTTGAACTCAAAGCACGACCACTTGAGGCGCACCCCAATAGGTGTGGCTCTTGAAGTGGGGCCACCTGTACCATTCAGGGTCTCCATGGAGGTCAGGCCCCTCTCAGCCCCGCTTCCCAAAACGCCTTTCCATAAACAAGAAACTCTATCCGCCGTTCAGGAAGGATTCCCTTCTGAAAGGAAATGTACATATTAAAAGTGAAGCAAAAAAAGCAAGCTCTCTAAAGTTGTCTTTCTCCAAACAGGCAAGCCAGGCATGGAAATGGGACCACCGGTTTAAAAGCCTGTTTCAAAGAAAGCTCGAGAACTTTGGACCACTTGCCACGCTCGAAGCAATCCACCAGCGCTCATCCCTCCTCCTGAGTGTTGCATGCGTTTCCAAGTTCTCGTTCCCCCCAAGAATTCCCCCAAAAAGCCCGTCAACAAGGACCAACGGGACAAGACAATCTCAGGGGAAACTAAGGAGACTCAGGGTCCTGACAGCGAAAAGTCGCCACCGCCACCGCCGCTTAGACCGCCCCAAACCGGCTGGTCACGTGGCGCGTCCCCGCTCCGCCCCCCGTCTGCCCGAGCCGCCCCTCCTGAGGCGGCCACGGTGTACCCACTTTCGGTCGCCTCCCTGCTCCCGGAGGAGCACGGGGCGAAAAATGAAGACTAGAACCCAAGGCCGCCGCGCGGGGACCACGAGTGTTTTCTCTCACTGGAATTCCGCCTGCTCCATTGCAACGCAGCCCGCGCCAGCCGCGAGCGTGTGCGACCTTAGTCTCCGCCCTTCTTTCCCATGATGCCCCAGACCTGAGCTGAGTGGACCTTTCCAGCCCTGGGCTCCGCCCCCTTTTCCCGTCATGCCCCAGTCCCTAGCCTAGTGTTTTTCCCGGCATGCTTCTCCCCTCAGTTATGGTTGACTTCTTAAAGAGACCAAAACTGGTTTATGAAAAAGTGGAAGAACGCATATGAAAGAAGATATCAGGGGTGTTACATAGCCCTATAACTCTCTGCTCATTGTTTTTTGTTTTTAAGAGAGGAAGGATTTATTTCATTGAATTCATTATGGTATGGAAGGCGTGGCGGGATGGAGCAGCTCACATAGTGCCCAGAAAGCAGAGAGAGAGAGAGAGCCTGCGCTCTCCGTTCCTTAATGGCCATTTCCAGAAAGGTGAGCTGGTAAGAGAACATAAGAATAAATAATATCTGACATTTATGAAGTCAAGTTCTTGCTAAACACTTGTCCCGTATCATCCCACTTAATCCTGACTGCATCCCTAACAGATGTTTTTAATCTCTGAGATATAAATGAAGAGATTAATTTGTCAAAGTTAAGATTTGGCATTTTTTTCATTCAACATTATTTTGAGTATATATCCATAATTTGTGAAGCTGTTGTTCATTCATTTTGACTGCTGCATAGTATTCCATTTTATGAGTATGATACAATTAGATCATCTAGAACTGATGGACACTTAAACTGTTTCCAGTTTGGGGCTTTGGGGAATACTGCTGCTGTGAACATTCTTATTTCTGTAGCACATATGCACACATTCTGATTGGGTTTATACCTAGTAGTAAAATTGCTTGTCATATAAATGTAAAACTGAAGTAAATGACATCAAACAATTTTAGAAAGCAGTTGTTTCAATTTATACTCCCACCAGTTATGTTTGTGAGTTTCAGTTGCCCAACATTCTTAGTAGTAATTACTACTATACATCTTTTTAATTTTAACCATTCTGTTGGGAAGTGTAGTTGTATCTCACTGCTTTTAATTTGCATTTCACAGGTTCCTAATGAGGTTGAGCCCAGTTTCATTTTTGAATATCTGGCTCTCCTGGCTGTAAAGTATTTGTTCAGGTATCTTACTCATTTTTGTGTTGTATTATCTGCGTTTTTCTTATTCGTACATATTCTAGATAGGAGTCCTTCTCCAGGTTGAATGTATATGTCATTTCAAAATTCAGGTGTTAGAACTAAAGCCCAATTAGACAATAAGGGTCTGGCAGAGTGGCTCAAGTGATAGAGTGCCTGCTTAACAAGCATGAGGCCCTGAGTTCAAAACCAGTACCACAAAAAAAAGGCAACCAATTAGACAATAAGGAGTGATGCCCTCATGAATAGAATGAATGCCTTTATAAAAGAGCCTTCACACCGGGCTTGCCTGTCCTTTCTGCTCTTTTTACTCTTCTGCCATGTCAAGAAGTGTTACTCCCCTCCAGAAGACACAGAAATAAGAGGCCACTAGGAAACAGAAAGAGACCCTTCACCGGACATGAAATTTGACCCACCTTGATCTTGAACTGCCTGGCCTCCAGAACTGTGAGAAATAAATTTCTATTATTTATAAATTATCCAGTCTGTAGTATTTTGTTGTAGCAGCAGGACATAGCTTTTAAAATATATGCATTGACAGTATCTTCTCTCATGCAGTAGATTGCCTTTTCACACTATTATTGGTATGTTTTGCTGAACTTGAAAGACGTTTATGCTTAGTGCTTTCTGTGTCTTGTTAAGAATAGCTTCCAATCACAAGTAGGAAATTTATGAATATATTATTTACACTTCCACTTCGTCTTTCACATCTAACTCTGTGATCCTCCTGAATTTGGATTTCGTTTGCTTTTTTTTTTTTTTTTTGGCAGCAGTGGGGTTTGAACTCAGGGCCTCAGCCTTGCTAAGCAGATGCTCCTTCGACTTGAGCCACTCCGCCAGCCCTCAAGTTGGATTTTGTATATGGTGTAAGTCAGATTATCTTCACTATGCAGTATATTTGAAAAAGCCTATCTTTTCTCCTACTGTTCTGCACGGCCATCCTTGTCACACATAAGTTGTCTCTCTATGCATAGATTTATTTCGGGACCATGTAGTCTGTCTCTTCTTGTGGAAGATCACATTATTTCTGTAACAGCTTTATAATAAATCTTAATATCTGATAGAAAAAGCCCTCCCTCTCATTACATTCTTCAAAATTGTCTTTGCTTTCATTTGTCCTCCACACATCTGCACAAACATAAATTTTTAAATCAGCTTGTTGAACTGGAGGCATGGCTCAAGCAATAGAGTGCCTGCAAGCCCTGAATTCAAATCCCAGTTCTACCAAAAAAAAAATCAGCTTGTCAAATATAACAAAACTTTCCTTGAAATTATTGATTGATTGATTGGTTTAATTTTTTTTTTGGAAGGGCTTCACCCTTGCAAAGCAGGCAATCTACCACTTGAACCACATCTCCAGTCCATTTTGCTCTGGATATTTTGGAAATGGTGGCAGCAGGGACGTCTCATAAAATATTTGCCTATACTTAAAAAGCTAAACTTGATCTACCATTTGATCCAGCAGTACCACTCTTGGGGATATACCCAAAAGACTGTGACACAGGTTACTCCAGAGGCACCTGCACACCCATGTTTATTGCAGCACTATTCACAATAGACAAGTTATGGAAACAGCCAAGATGCCCCACTACTGACGAATGGATAAAGAAAATGTGGTATCTATACACAATGGAATTCTATGCAGCCATGAAGAAGAACAAAATGTTATCATTCACTGGTAAATGGATGGAATTGGAGAACATCATTCTGAGTGAGGTTAGCCTGGCCCAAAAGACCAAAAATCGTATGTTCTCCCTCATATGCGGACATTAGATCAAGGGCAAACACAACAAGGGGATTGGACTTTGAGCACATGATAAAAGCGAGAGCACACAGGGAGGGGTGAGGATAGGTAAGACACCTAAAAAGTTAGCTAGCATTTGTTGCCCTCAACGCAGAGAAACTAAAGCAGATACCTTAAAAGCAACTGAGGCCAATAGGAGAAGGGGACTAGGAACTAGAGAATAGGTTAGATCAAAAAGAATTAACCTAGAAGGTAACACACATGCACAGGAAATTAATGTGAGTCAACTCCCTGTATAGCTATCCTTATCTCAACCAGCAGAAACCCTTGTTCCTTCCTATTATTGCTTATACTCTCTCTTCAACAAAATTAGAGATAAGGGCAAAATAGTTTCTGCCAGGTATCGAGGGGGTCTGGGGGAGAGAGGGAGCGGAGTGAGTGGTAAGGGAGGGGGTGGGGGCAGGGGGGAGAAATTACCCAAGCATTGTATGCACATATGAATAATAAAACAATAAAAATTAAAATAAAATAAAATATTTGCCTAGACTGACCTGGAACTGCTATCCTGATCTTAGTCTCCCAAGTAACTAGGATTACAGATGTGAACCATTGGTGCCTGGCTCTTGAAAATTTTAGAATCAGTTGTGATCCTAGTTACTCGAGAGGTGGAGATCAGGAGGATCACAGTTTGAGACCAGCCTGGGTAAAGAGTTCACAACACCCTTTCTCAATCAATAGAAAAACTGAGTGTCGTCCTGTGTGCCTGTCATTCCAGCTGTACAGGAAGTATAAATAGGAAAATAGGACCATGGTCCAT